GTCACACTGTTGGCCCAGGCCATCATCATCAAGCGCACCTGCGCAACAAGAACACAACAGCTCCAAGCTATCATCTCCTTCGTCGCTAATTATGGACCGTGAACCCATAAAGATCGCCAACTGGAACGCTCGCTCCGTAGGGGCGAAAAACATTGAGCTTGAAGACTTCCTCCGCAAGCACGACATCGACGTGGGCCTTCTCACCGAGACCCACCTCAAGACCGGTGACAGCTTCTGGCTGCCCGACCACAGCATTGTCCGGCTTGATCGCACCAGCTCCAGGGGGGGCGGTGTCGCGGTCATCATCAAGAAAGGCATCAAGTACTGCACCCTACCCCACTACCGCACTTCCATCATCGAGGCCGTCGGCGTTGAGGTGGAAACATCGACCGGAAACGTCCGGTTCATCGTTGTCTACTGCCCCCGGCAATGTACCGTTAGCAATGGTACAGCACAGCAGTTCAAGAACGACCTTGCCATCATAACCCACACCAATGCCCGCTTTGTAATCGGAGGGGACCTGAACGCCCGGCACGAGGCCTGGCGGAACTACCAGCAGAACCAGAACGGCCGCCTGCTATTCGACCATTCCCAGCATGGTCTCTATTCCGTCTGGTTTCCGGACGAACCAACCTTCACATCACCGACGGGCAACCCATCGACGCTGGACCTGTTCTTGGCAAACACCAGATTAGCCAAGCCGGTTGCCGTCAACGACCTGAGTTCGGACCACCAACCGGTGCTGACCGAGCTGGGCTACAACGTGGCCCCTGCACCGTGCCAGCGGAAGGACTACCATCGAGTCAACTGGGTCCAGTTTCGACGCGTGGTCGACCGCCACATCGACGACAACCCACCGCTCGACACAGTGGAGGACATCGACCGGGCCCTGGAGGGTCTCCATCAAGCCATATCCGTGGCTGACGAAGAGTGCGTTCGACGAGTTCCTGTGAGGGGTAAGTTTCAAGCAATTGATTCCCACACCAAACTCTTGATTCGGCTCAGAAATGTTCGTAGACGCCAGTTTCAGCGGACTGGGGATCTGCAGCGTAAATACGAAATGGTCGATCTGAATCGGCAGATCGCTTCCAGAATGGTCTCAATCCGGAACGAGAGTTTCGGGCGGCTCGTTCAGAACCTGGACGACCGTTCCAGACCATTCTGGAAGGTTGCCAAGGTGCTGAAGTCTCACCCCAAGCCCATTCCACCACTTAGAGTCAATGACGAACGGCTTATCACCAACGAAGAGAAGGCCAATGCAATTGGGGAGCACATTGCCCAGTCGCATTTGCTTGGCTCTACAATCCCAAGTCCACTCGAGAACCAGGTTGTGCAGTGCGTCCAGACGTTAGATGCCTCCCCTTGTGCCGTCCCTCCAGAAGAACGGATTACAGAGGAACAAATTTGCTCAGCGCTGAAACACAGTACGAACATGAAGGCTCCCGGGTTTGACGGAATATTCAACCTAGAGTTGAAAAATCTCAGCCCGAGGGTCCACTCGCTGCTGGCTGCCATCCTCAACAGATGCTTGGAGCTGCACTACTTTCCAAGCATCTGGAAGGTGGCAAAAATCATCCCGATCCGCAAACCTGGGAAAGACCCTTCACTAGCGTCAAGCTACAGACCGATTAGCCTGCTCTCAGCGCTGAGCAAGCTGTTCGAAAAATTGATCCTCAGCCGACTGAACAAGTTTGTGGAGGAACATGACATTCTTCTTCCGGAACAGTTCGGGTTCCGTAAGGGGCATTCCACCAATCATCAGCTAGTGCGGGTGATGAATAACATCCGAAGTAACAAAGCTGTATCCAAGTCCACAGCCATGGCCTTGTTAGACATCGAAAAGGCGTTTGACAATGTCTGGCACGACGGACTTATATACAAGCTACAAATCGTAGCACCTGCGATCCTCTACGCAGCTCCGGTGTGGGAATCATGTGCACAGACTCACAGGAACAAAATTCAGGTCGCTCAGAATAGAGTGCTGAGGATGGTTCTTGATCGTCCTTTCGACACTAGAATAACAAATTTACATGAAAAGGCAGGCATTGCCAAAATAGATTCCAAAATTAACGAAATTAAGACTAAATTTGCACAAAAATATAATTTATCAGAACATGCTTTGATAAGCAATTTGTATATAGAAGGTTAGGTGTACATAGTCGTTGTAGGTTAGTTGTAGTTGTAAATAGTAATTATAAGTAGTCTCCTTTTTCCAATTCAAATCAAACCAATCCCACCAAGGTGGTCATACTTTAAAATAGGCCTGATAGGACTAGGAACTGTAAATAATAATTAAAATCTCAAATGTACTAAAGTTGAAAAGACGCATCTGTGTCACTTGAAAAATTCATACATGTAAACCACACAATCACAAGAAATAAAGATCATTTAAATGGCAAAAAAAAATGCTTTTGCTTATTGTCGCTTCGGACGGCGTGGCACTTGGTCCTGCAGTAAGCAGGACCAAATCAGCGGCTAAAGGTGGATCACGGCGTGACCGCAATGAGGAATAGTAATTAGTAAACCCTCTCCGCCTTTCACATTAACCCCTCTCCCTCCCCCCTTCACAACAATCTCTCCCCCCCCCATTCATCAATAACCTTTCCTATCCCCCCACCCCTCAACAATAACCCGACAAAGACATAGACTTTGGCGATCTCTTTTTTCCGGGAAATAAATTTGAAACAAATCACAATCATTAGTAAAATCATAAGTTTTTCCCTTAATTTCTTCCCACACCAAAACTTTCAAACTTGTACATATAAAAACCATGCGTGACCACACATACTATTCATTTGCGTGTAAATTTCATGTGTACTTCTGAGTGGATTCTGTTTATGTGTGGTCAAATGAAAATCATGTGGAATTTCACATGGATATTTGTCAAGAAAAATGTGTAAATTGTTTTGAGTCAACCATAACCAAAACATTGAAATACTTGAAAATTTTAAGATAAAGTATAATAGTCAAAAATGCATGAAATCATCAATTTTGTGTGGTTCTACGTCATACTGCGGTCGTGTCTAGGACACAACCCTTTAATTTTTTGCTGTAGCCGTTTCTCCTCTGCCAAGCATTGCATTTCAAGTTGCAACCTCGCTTCTCGAGCGCTGGCGGACGTCGACACTACGGTTCTGGCCGAGTTAGGGAGAGCGCATGCCGTGCACATAAAGCTTCGGTTCTCATCTTCAATATAGTCGTTGACACCGGCATACATGAAATGGTACCAGCGTTCGCATCCGTCACACTGGACCATTTTCCGATCCGCATCATCCAGCTGGTTACATATAATGCAGTGAGGCTGGGATGAGTCAGCATTACTTATTGGCACGGGTCCCGGTTCTTGCATGGTTATGTTCTTCGAAACCTTTCGATGCACAAATTTAACTTTAGAAATAAAATTTTAAAAGTTTGTTACGGAGACGATGAAGTCGTTCGGACCTCTTAAAGGCAAACTCGTATGTTTGTTTGTTTAGAGTTAGCTTTTAGCTGTAATTTTATTATTTTTTAGTTCCAACGCATGTTTTTAGCACATTTTAGGTTACTTACAATTTTAATCCACTTCGTAAACAATTATTCATCTGTCGTAACAATAGTTTATGCTTATTCGTTGAGTTCTTGAATGATATGTTTCAATTCGTATTTTGTGTTTATTTTAAAGCAAAGTGTACTTACAATTACAGTAATAATTAACAAATTTATAGTCCAACTTTTAACAATTACTAACTTTTAAGGTGTTGTATGTTCTGTGTTGATCTTGGTAGTTGCATAACAATGATAAAGAAATTGATAACTGACAACTCAAGCTGACGACTTCTCACTTGACGTTGTCCGGTGACGTTATCATTTAACCGTTAGTTCTACATGGTATCGTCAGCGTTTGCTGTTGACGGGTGGTCTGGTACCGTTGCGCACAGAGTGACTGCAATATTCCACCGTTCCAATGGACCGCTCCAGTGATGGTTTCTGGAAGAATATGCAAGTGCGGCAAAATACATTAAAGTTAACGCTGTATGTTCTGAAAAGGAATTTTTCGAGGAAGTTATCAAACCAAGTGTGTTAGTAATGATTGGAAAACATCATTATGTGTTAATATAGGATGGAATGCCCTCTAACACAACAAGCTCATTCAGAGGTGATGCAGAGATAATTTGACCAACTTTTTGACCAACGATAAATCGTCTCCCAGTTCCCCAGATCTGAATCCCTTGGATTATTTCATGTGGTCATTAATACTGTCGAAGTTAAACGAGCACAGGGGATTAAATTTGATCCAACTCAAATCTATAACCAAACGAATATGGGGCGAAATGCTTATGGAAGTGGTGCGTGGCATCTGTGATGCATTTGATAAACGTTCAAACGGGTTGAATACAGAGTTATGCAAAAACATAATATTAATCAATATGATATTGCCTTTCAGTTAATACAATTACTAATCAAATCTGTTATACTGATGTGAAAAAATACAGTTTGAATTTCTATGAGAATATATTGGATACGGTGTAGATAGATTTCGGGAAAAATTGGCCCAGTGTTAGCCAACAAACCACGATTAGTGCTAACTATATCCGTTGAGAATATGTACATCCACCGTGTCAGCGGCGCCACCAATGAAATAACAGAAAGTAAATTCCCCTTTTGTTTCGTAGATTTTCCGCTTTTTGTAAGTTTCTCTTATCTGTACTCTTTTATACTATTCCTGCAACTGGTCGTAAGGGATTTTTTGCTCCTGCAGTTTGAATCCAACTCAATGGAGGATAGATAGTGCACTCGGTGCTCAGTTGTGGTAAACTAGCCATAGAAAGTTTTCCGAATTCAACAGGAACTATGGAAAATCAGCTCAAAATTGAAGCATTTCCGAAGGCAAAATATAAGTCAAAGAAACAGAAAAATATACTGGGAAGCTCTAGAGAACCTGGCGATGATATTCATATTTATGCTCGCGTGGAAGTCACATAATATTGATGCACCGTTTATTTTAATTTTATTTTTTTCAGTGTACAATTGACCACCTCATCGGTAAACAAACGAAACGCAGGGGACAAACCGAATGTGGAAACAATACACCACCGCTGGGACACAGGCCCAACAACGCGTGGGTGTGTAAAACGGGAAACAATGGAGAGGGTCCATCCCATCGACGATGGTGAGCGCTTTGTTTCGAGTTCCGGGAAAATCCAGTAATGATGGAAATTGTTGGGTTGCATTTTCCTCCCGAGAGAGGATTTGCGAATGCGAAGAAAAATACTGCCCAGGTGAACTTGTGAAGTGGTAAAAACAGGGAAAAATGGACCATTTAGATTGTCCCGTGCAAGCAGTAGTGTCATTCGCAGTAGCAGCAGCAAAAGTGACACCAGACACAACCGGGCGGTGGGTGAAGTTCGGCATCGCAGCCAAACAATGGCTCCGGAACGACCGGTTTCTGTAGGTGGTCAGCAGTGTGTTCCGTAGCCTAACGAGGACGGTGACGACGATGGCGATGATGGTGTCACTATGGTTGTTATTGTTGGTATTGGGGATTAATTTCCCGGTGACCCAGTGGGATGCTGATGATCACAATTGTGCAGAAGTGTATGTGTGATTGTGAGTGAGAAGGTGTTTCCGCGAAAGTGAGGAGAAAATAACACACGAATAGGAGAAAAATCAACAATATAATCTACCCGACACCATGAGCACCGTGCCGTGGAAATCCGCGGCCACTGGTCCGGACAACCGGGGATTTATAGTCACGTGTGGATTACTGCTACTGCTGTTGGCAACGGCGGCAAGGATGCTTGGTGCTGATGCAACGAGGATTTTCGGTGAGTATAGGTTTTGTTTCTCCCTATGAAAATAAAATGCATTCGTTAGAAAATTCAATGGCAGTTAAAAATAACACAATTGTTTATACGGTATGATTCGTTTATTTTTTCTAACGCACCGCCTTTTATTGATGAACGAATGACCAGTATGAGCTGGCCATTGAAGCTTGATTCATTACAACACTGTAAAGCTGGTTCATAGCAAATACTTAAAACAGAATGTATTGATCAAAATTGAAACATTTATTCGCACCCGGTCTCTTAACAGTACAGTACAGCCAAACAGAAACCTTCACGGAAAACATACTCTACAGTGAAATTTCTATAAAACGGAAACGGAACATCTTCAATTTAATTGCTCAGCTCTCAGTGCAGCAATGTTCACTTTATTTAATACATTTAAGCAGTGTTAACTGTGTACAAAATGCATGGCGAATATAAATTTTAACGTCAGAGAAAGATTGATTGAATAATCACATATTCTTCTTAAATATATTTATTATATTAATATTATGATGATTCACTGAATAATCCTATGCCGCTATGCTTGAACGCCATTGGGCAGTATTTACGGATTAAGATTTTTGACGTAGTACTACGTGTCTGGGACTAAGGTAGATGAATATCCTGACGATAGCGGTGCCGGTGGTGCAGTGGTAGGCGTGATTATCTCTCACCCCAGCAGGCCTGTGTTCAATCCCTGTCGACGCCGCAGGGATCTTCTGAGGCATAACATCTCTGATCACGCCTTCCTTCGAAAGGGAAGTAAAGCCGTTTGTTCCCGCCCAGTTCGAAAAAGTAGTGTACATTTCTCAGTCCCCATCGTGCTCTCTTGCCGTGCGGATCTATTTGCTTTTTACTGAAGAAAGTGTTACTGCTACCTAAAGCTACAACAAATTTTAACAGCACTTTTCCGTGCTCAGCATACCTGTACATTTTCTACCTTCTTCGATTCTTATTCCTCTTCGATCCTTGTGTGGACCCTACCCGAGGTAATCTTGCTTGAATATCGATTTGGAAAATTCCTCTTCGATCCTTCTGATTCTTCTAGCAATCTACTTGAAAGTCGATTTGGATAAAAGTTTTACTGCTGCCGTGGCGCCTAAGCGCAAAAGAAAAGGGCGATCTCTTGATCCCCCTTGTGATGAAATTAATTTCAGCAAACAATTTGATTTGCTCACGGATGACAAAAATGATTCTAGTAAACTTTCCCAGCTTAATGCCAAGAGGGAAAAGATTCCCCCTATTGTGATAACCACTTTTGATTTCCATGCTCTTCGCACGGAACTTCTGAACTTCGTGAAATTCAAGTTTTCACTGCCAATTGGCCATCGGGGTGAATGCCGTGTGTTGGCTAAAACCTTGGACGGATTCAAACGTCTTCTCAAGTACCTTATTGAGAAGCAACACCATTTTTTTACTTATGACACCAAAACTGAACGTCTGTTCTGTGTTGTCTGGTGAATCCTTGGTTAAGATCAAAGATGAATTGACTAAATTACTTTGAGTTGAGCCTGTTCAAGTAATCAAACTGAAAACGGAATCCCGCGACGGGATTTCTAATGATTTTTATTTAGTTCACTTCAAGTCTAGTGAACTAAACAACCTTAAGGCCTTAGAAAAAGCTAGCCTTATGCTCCATGTCCGAGTGAAGTAGGAATACTTCAGGAAGACTGGAATAAATTTCCAAAACCTCACCCAGTGCCGTAAGTGCCAGGGATGGGGTCACGAAACTAAAAATTGCTACATGCCAGCTAAATGCATGAATTTTGGTGGTTCCTCTCACGCAAAGGACGACTCCTCTCCTGTGAAGGAAGATCCTAAAAAAATTAAATGTTCAAATTGTGGTGAAGACCACAAATCCAATTTTTGGGAATGTAAGTATCGCAAAGCAATCCTACAACCTCGTTCTAAGCAACAGGTAGGGTACGCTCCACGTTTCAGAGCAGGTACAAATTCATCTGCTGTTAACAACAGTCAGCGGGGAACAAATTCTACATGCGTACCCGTAGGTACAGATATCACCCCTGTTTCAAATTCTTCATCTATACCTGCTCCCTTCGCTGCTAACAATGTTCAGCGAGTAAATGGAGCTACCTATGCTGCTATTTCAACGGGTAGAAAATACTAACCAACGTAATTCTTACTGAAATTTTGAAAATTTGGACTTACAGAAATAATTAATATAAATGATTACTGATATGCTGAAATCTAACTCCGTGTTTGATGCTATTCAAACTGGAGTAAAATTTGCGAACAATATTGTCATGACTTTGAAATTCAGTAATGGATTTTGCAGCACACTTCATGAATACTGTAAAGCGTGATGGTACTGGCAGGTACATATTACGTTACCCTAAACGCATGGAATTTCACAGCATGGTTGGAAAATCTAAACAAGCGGCTTTACGACGATTTCTTCAAACAGAAAAAAAAACGGCTGGACCGTGACCCCAATCTACGCAAGCATTACGTGGATTTTATGCTGGAGTATTTGGACCTAGGGCACATGAAATGAATCGGTATGGCCTGGTCCAGCCGTTTTTCTGTTTGAAGAAATCGCCGTAAAGCCGCTTGTTTCGATTCTCCAACCATGCTGTGAAATTCCCTGCGTTTAGGGTAACATACTATGTACCTGCCAGTACCGTCGCGCTTTACAGTATTCTTTAAGTGTGCTTCACAGTCCTCTTCTTCTTGCGAACGTGGTTTTTTAGTCTCGAGCTACTCCACTGTCCAACATTTCTCAATAGCCTTGTCTAACGAATCTACCTTCGCTACATGGCAAGTGATGTTCGTCACCTCATCCATGGATTTCGTATTACCTGTTGCTACCCATCCGAACATCGTACTGACAAATACTGGAAGCGTACTGTCGAATATGCGAACTTAGAGCCGGCCACCATCGCGTACGAGGAAGTCGTAAAAATACTGACCACCCAAAACCAGATCGATCGGACCAGATATGTCGAAATTCGCTGGTTGGGCCACCACCTCGGTTCAATTAACGAATTCGATTCGTTAGTTGGGCCAACTGACAGAAGGGTGAAATTTCTTGAGGGGTGCACGCATTGTTTGTTGTGGTTGTGTAAATTTTACGAAAAGCGGAATTAATGGTACTTGTTCATTGGAAGCGTGATACTCTGCGCAATACTACATACATCGTATTCAAAACAGGTATGCAATAAGTTGAACTTATTGTTATGTTAAATATTTAAATAAATGCTCTCATCTTCAGCATTCAACAATGGAATATGGATCGGGTTCCAAGCGGAAAAACACAACACTATCATTGGCGGACAAATTAAAAATTATTGAAGAGGCAGTGTCGGGAGGAATGTCCCATGAACAGATCGGCATGAAGTATGGAGTTGGAAAGTCATCTGTCAGCAGGTTCATCAAAAATAAAACGGCGATCCAGATTGCAGTGGAGAAATATAGAGAATATGGAGCGGAGAAGCGGAGGACTCTGAAGGAACAGCATTTCCCGTTGATGGAGGAAGCATTGTTTATTTGGATTTTGCAGCAAAGGGAAGTGAATATCATTGTTCCGGCGGATATCATGCGGTCAAAAGTAGATTCTCTGTTCAAAGCATTTCAGGAACATGATTGCTACACGGAAAGTACGTTTCTCGCTTCCAACGGCTGGGCTCGTCGATTCAAGGAACGCTTTGGCTTGCGAATGGCTACTGCTGCTGGGGAGAAAGCATCTGCTGATCTGGAAGCATATGCTAAATTTAAGCCCGTGTTGATGCAAAAGATTCTTGACATGAATATAAGTGCGTCACAATTATTCAATGCGGATGAATCGGCAATTTTTATTATGCTTATAGCATCTAAAACGGTAGTGTTGTGGGATGAAAGAGCAGCTTCTGGTCAGAAACTCAACCGAACCAGGTATACATTCAGGCCCTGTGCTAATCTTGTCGGTTCCCTTAAACTCCAGCTGATGTTTATCGAAAAATCGGAAAATCCTCGAGATCTCCCACGCGGGGCAAATAAAGAGTTCCAGTTTCGTACTATTCCTCGAAAAAATCATGGATGACACGCATATTGTTCCGAAAATGGTTTGAGGAAGAATTTGTACCAGCTGTAAGAAAGTTTCTGTCTAGAAAAAAGTCTTGAGCCAAAAGCGCTATTGGTTTTGGACAATTGTTCGGCGCACCATGATGGTTGCGACTTAAAGAGTGAAGATGGTTTAATTCAGGTGATCTATCTTCCACTCAACATCACAAGTGAATGCCAACCGATGGATCAGGCGGTAATTAATGCCATCAAGACGCTATATAAGAGGAAGTTCATGTTGAAACTAGTCTTTTAAGATGAACACTTGTCATTCGATCAACGTCTAAAAAACCTATCATTGAAAATGTGTTTGGATTGGCTGGCCAGCTCATCGGAAGAAATAAGTACTTCCACAATAAGAAACTCGTGGAATAAACTTGTTGACGAGTTTCCAGGATTAATTCATGATTAATTAAATGTTGTCGAACAGAACTATCCGACACAAGAAGATGCGGATTGTATAAAATCGCTCATAGCAGAAGTTGACAAGATGGTTGGAACGCAGACCAGTGAAAGTGATGTGAAACGATGGTTGAATGACCAAGTTATAGACTCTGAAGGAAATGTGCTATGTGGAACGAGTCAGGTATACACCGACGTTGAGATTGTAACTGGCGTTCTCCGTGGTTTCGATGAATCAGTCTGCATGCAAGAAGAGTGGCTAAACGACACCGACGAGAGTGCTTCAGGCAACGTATCCAGATCTGGGCTAATGACAGTCGATGAGGAACCGACAACAAAGCAGGATTTCGCTAATGTACTGCAGTCACTTGACAAGGTCATTCAGTACGTAGAAAACGATGTTTCGGAGGGTACGCGACTCAAATCCTTGAGAACTAAGCTGATTGAAGCTGAGTGGCAAAAGCAAAACCTGTAATGTGAGCAATTTTTATTTTTTTTGTATGAATTTCAAATAAACATTCATTAAACACAATACG